TGACAGTTGTCTTTCGTCTTTTCACAGTTAAGTGAGTGACAGAGTGAAAAGCGATTCGCCGCCCTTCTCTCCCGCGTAACCCCAGAGGCCTCGAGGGCCACGTGACGGACCCCAGCTCCGTCATCGTCCTGACACATCACTGTTTCTCAGAAACCTGGGGGGGGGGAGGGTCGTTAACACCCTGACCCTTAAAGACCGATTCATGGTTCTGAAGCTACGTAGGCCGGCAGGAAGCACGGGGCCACGCCGTTGTTAGCGTTCATAGTTGTGCATGTGTTTCTATGCTGCTGTGTCACTTCCTGTTCGCTTATTTACAAATTCTCTGGCGCCTCAGTTTACTTCAGGACAGTGAGTGTTATCACTCGTAGGTTACGGCTGAACACACGGGCTGATTCTGGTTCTGCATTAACACTTACTCTCTAATGTCTTGTCGAGGTCGGCGATGAAGTCCTCCAGCTCTTTGGTGTCGCCGAGTTTGGCTGCAGAGGAGAAGAAGAAGCAGAGATTCAGACTCAAACGTGAGCGTCGACAGACGGTTCAGTAATAATCCGTCTGTCTTCGTGTGTTACTCACCTTTTGGTGACATCAGCGGCGGTGAGGTGGCTCCGGGGGAGAACACGGTGGGAGAATTCAGCCGCTCGTCACTGAAGCTGAAGCTGTTTCTGTTCAGTGACTCTGCACCTGTCACGAAGAGAGGGAGAGGACACACACACACACACACTGATTAAAACCAGAGAGCTCACACACACATACACACACATTCACAGAGATCTGATGTGTGTCAGTGGAGCAGCTTCAGTGTGTAATCAGAACAACCTTCCTCTGTGGTCACACGTGTGCATGTGCTTGTATTTGCACACAAACACTGGGATAAACAAACTGAGACACTTTCTTCTCTGTGTCTAAAGCAGCAGAAGCTTCCGCTCTTCTTCACTGGACGACTGCAGGAAGAGCGGAGCAGGTTGTTGTTTGGACTCCAGCCTCCGTCTGATCTACAGAGCGTCACATGTAGGACCCAGTGAGGGATCCTGAGCCCTCTGCCACTTAACTCCCCCCTCCTCCCTGACCTGAACACAGAGCTGCTCCCTGAGTCCGGCCTCCACTTCCTCTCTGGGCTGGATCTCAGTTTTTGTCATTAATCGTTGCCGTCAGCAGCCCGTCCATCCATCAGGCTGCAGCACAATAGGTCGACAGGTCCTCTTCATGAGAGCGCCATGGAGAAGACGGAGCTCAGGCAGGAATCTGATCCCTGGAGCAAATCAACAAGCTCATTAGAGCCTCAGACGCAGGTTCAAACACCTGCCCCCCCGTGCTTCCCCCCCTGACGCTGCTCGTTGCACAACCCTCAGCGGTGATGGTGTAATTACTGGTCAACACTGCGGGCCCCGGTGATACAATCAGAAAACCACCGGAACACATCAGAGCTTGAAAAGCACTGATTCTCTCTGTGTGTCTGAGCTGAGGACGGTTTCTGTCTCTCTGTCCTCACACGTCCACTGATCAACTTTCCAGAAGTCTCAACCACCATAAAGATCTTTTTCCCCCTCATTCCCTGGAGACCCAGCCCACTCACACATGTGGGGAGCTGCAGTATCTTCACTCGTGGAGACCTGGGACATATTTCCCTCCGTGTGTCAGAAGCTGGGGGCCAGCTCTGCAGCAGCAGGGGGGGGGGGGGTGTCAGTGATTCAGTAACTCATGACTGTGAAACGTTCAGAGACACAGTACGGGGGCAAATATCAATCTAACCCCAAAAAGCTCTGAAGCACTTCTCTTGCTCGTTTTGTGTAATTTTGTTTTCATGCATGTGTCAGCACACGATAAGAAACTGCACACGAGGAGGAGGAGGAGGAGGAGGAGGAGGAGGAGGAGGAGGAGGAGGAGGTGATATGACTCCATGAATTAGCATTAATGAGACTTAAGGTCCATGAGCAGCTGATAAAAAGACTGAGACTGTGAATGTGCAACAAGTGTCAGATATTATTTCTACAAGACCTGATCTCCGTTCTGGAGTCCCACTCCGCAGGAGTATAAAGTCTGGCGCCTCCTCCACTGAGGATGGAGGTTGTTAATTGCTCCTTTAATTGATATTGAAGCAGCATGTGAGTACTGAGGTCAGTTAACACGTGTTCTCACTGTCAGAGTCGCTGATGCCGCTGTCGCTGACGCTGGCGCTGCTCCTCCTCTTCACGGTCTTCAGGTGCTCGTCGTACCTGAAGTGACGTTTCTCCACCGGCGACGTGAAATCCTCCATCACCGCGTCGAACTCGCACAGGACGTCGCTCAGGTCCTGCTCGTTCTCCAGGTCTGAAGAAACACACGAACACGTTCCTCAGCTTCACACCAGAACACGGTTGTAATTATAATAATGACGAACTGTGATGCTCTCTGTTAACTTCAACTAAAGTTATGACTCATTAATAAAACTTGAACGGAGAGGAACTCACCTTGAGCTTTGAGTTTTGGAGATTTCATGATTCCAGAGTTTTTATCCAGAAAAGTCTCAGTTCTGTTGAGTTCAACGTTAAAGTTCCTCAGAGTTAAAGTTCCACTGTTCGAATCCTGCAGCTCAAAGTGTCCGTGTGAGTCTGTGTGAGTCTGTGTGAGTCCGTGTGAGTCTGTGTGAGTCCGCCCCGAGGAGCTGCAG